GTGTAGTCACAAAAAGATGTAAATAAGGTCCCAGTGTGGAGACCCCCGAGGCTAGGAATTTAGCATCGAACTGTCAATTAAAGACCACACAAAGTATTTGGGAGTAGTCTTGGATAGTAAGCTGCTGTGTATGCGCAATGTTGAAGAAAGAGAGAAGAAGGCCAGTAACGCCCTTTATGCATGTAAAAGAATGCTGGGAGTCACTTGGGGTTTGTCACCTGCTTTCATGCATTGGTACTATCCAGCAATAGTCAACCCAATACTGCTCTATGGCGCTTTGGTGTGCTGGAATACCGCAAAAAAGACCGTATGACTTGGGGCAATGCATCAGGCTCAGCGCCTAGCGGCACTGTGCATAGCAGGAGCGCTGAGGTCCACTTCGACGGCTGCTCTTTAAAAAAACCCTGCTGCGAAATCCGCACGTAGATTGGCGGTCATAGGAAAATTTAATTTCAGAACCTTTGGGCACCGCTTAATTGGAACGGGAAGCACAAGCAGCACCGACTTTATGACACCTAGCTTTAAGTGGAAGCGAACGTTTTGCACAACGATTGATGAGGAGGGATGGCGCAAGGGTATGAAACCTAGCCATAGATCCCTAAACATTTTCACGGACGGCTCTAAAATGGTTACGTGAGTGGGTGCCGGGTTTACTGCCGGGAACTGAACTTGAAGCGGACAATAAGGCTACCTGACCATTGCAGCATATTTCAAGCAGATGTTTTTGCAATGAGGATAACTGCAGAGCTAGCCTTCACCGAAACGACAATCAATTCAAAATTAAACCTATTCCAGGCGGCAAATAAGGCAGTTTCCTCATATAGTATTTCATCCATAAACGTCCCTCGCAGCCGGGAAGCCATTGACAAGGTAGACGCTGAAAAAAGGCTATATATCTATTATGTGCCCGGTCACAAGGGAATCTAGGGTAATGAAATAGCAGATGAGAATGCAAAAAACGCCATCAGTCTTCCCTGAAACAGACAAACTACATTTGTATACCACTTCAACACTTGTACAATGAATTATACGATAATATGATTAGTCAGTTCAGAGCTAGCTGGAATGAGTTAACCTGAAAAACTGCAAAAATACATACAAATGATTTGTGTTTACACCGTCTCATACATGATGGTATTTTGCGTTTCCATATGGCAACACGGGGTCAATTTGGGCTAGTGAGCATATCAAAATTTGGTAAAAAGAGGAACAGTTAACATAACGCCCCGTGTATCCATATGGCAGTTACCAGTAGAGTCACTAATGTTTTAACTAATATTTTATCACTGTCATATTTTGTAAATAAAAAAACTCTTCGTATAAATTCATGCTTACTTCTTCATATATGACATTTTGATGGTTTTCTGCCGCTTCTAATTTTGTTTAAAGAACACACTTGCATTACACTCGATAGACAGCAAGGATCTGACGGAAACGTAAGCGTTTCGAAAGATACACCTTTTAGGAATGAGTTAACGTACATACAAGCATTTTGAAATAAGCGGTTTTTGTTTTTCACCCTCTTAAACATGATGTATTTTGCGTTGCCATATGGCAACATGGGGTCAATTTGAGTTAAGTTAAATTTATATTTTTTAATCACCAGTGAATCATCCTCTGGGAATCCTAAACTCCGAATAATAAAATTTAATAATGTAGGAACTGAAAATAAATGAAACTCCGTTAAATGGCAGAACTATATATTTAACTAGCCAATGCCCGCTTGCTTCGCAGCGCCTAATAAGATCTTTTGAGTTGGCTAATACAAAAATAGCGTTTAAAAGCAAAAGCGGTCTGTAAAGTAAACATTTTTAGTTTAAATTGAAACGAATATAGAGCAGAATCCTCCTCACACATAGGCCAAGAATAGTAGCGCTGTGATACCATATGGAATACTAATCCCTTTCGATGTCTTGAGTTTTACCGATGGTCCCTTTTCCACCTGTGAGATCTCTTCCAAGCGTGCGTAATATTATTTTATGATCTTGCAACTTCAACATTGGTCCGTAAACCAGTTTTCAGTTCTAGGAGGGCCAAGAAAATCCTCGAATTTTTCATCATACAGGTAGCTAAATTTGCAAGTTTGAACGAAATCGGTTAATAAATACGACTTTTATAAGTAAGTAACTCTACTCCAGCGCCACCAGCGTGTTGTCTAGTAGGCTATAATAGGACCATATATGCAAGGTATAACCTCCGACAATTTGACTGGTTTTTGAGTTTAGTTCGAACAACGAAAACGGCTATCATTTTATGTATGTATGTACATTAGAGTGGTAAAAAAAAAAAAATTCCAAGACAGGGTTTGAGGCACCTTGCAAAATTTTTCTTTTGCCGAAAGAGGTGCTGGTACCAAACCTAACGTTTCTATGTATAAATTTAGAAGATGCTCATGATGCACATATTTTACTCTATAAGTATTGTGTATTAGTTAGTAGTTATTTATTGAGCCAAATTTTCTTAAGCAGTACGGAGTTCTCAAGAAATCTTCTACGCTTTTTACCTTTGTTTTCTAACATTTTTTGGTGAAGAACAGAAGGCCCTCTTGTTTTCAATATATATGCCCGTTCCATTATTTCGTGAGGAAAAAGTGAGACAGCAGGCTCTAAAATATCAGATATCCTGCAATTTCAAATAGAGTCCGACCAATTAATCGGCATCGGCTAGTATCGGCCAAAGAATCGGTATCGGCATCGACATCGACATCGGCCATTTTTGGCCGCTTCTTAGCACTTCATCCCATGTTATTTATTTTATACTTTTTTAATTCCTTTAAATCTTTAACTACTAATTGAGTCCTCCTATCATAAGTGTATTCTCATGTATTTAACAAATGTTCATCAAAGTTTGAAACTGTTTAATCAGATTTTATAGAACTTTTTTGAGTATACAGTTTTTTTTTTTAATTTTAGTATAATAAAGGACTTATCGTTGATTTTTGGCAATTTTTTGTACACGTATTTTCTTCCATACAAAGTATGTTCGAATTTTTTTTTTGTATGGAGAAAATCAGCAAAACCTTCCACAAAAAAGTTTCCAAAAATCAACGGTAAGTCGTAGCTACTTCAAATTTGCACCTAATAAATAATAAAATTAAATGGGCTACAAAGCTGCATACCCAGAATGTTTCTGGAAAATTTAGTTAAAAAGCTGTCGAATTTTGGTAATGGTCTCTTCCGTATTTATATTTTCGTCACTGTACCTTAGTAAAAGAATTATATGTGCATCATATTTTTCCTCGATTTCTCTGTATTAAATAGGGGAAAAGTTTACTGTGGTATGCAATTAGAATAGCCCTTGGGTTATAAGGATTTTCCATACATTAGGTTGGTACTCTGTATAATTTTATCTACCGTTCCAGCAATCAGTAGTACATTCAATAGAAAATAATTATATGTGCATAAGGAGTTATTCGGCTTCCGATTGCTGCAGTGTCATAAATTCTCAACAAAAAAGTACACTGACAACTGGGTGTTAAAAACTTGAATAGTTGTAAGCTATTTTCATACTAAAAACCTTTTATTATTTTTCCATATTATATCACGGCCGATAATATCCAGTGACTAGGGACACGATATCGAACCGAAAGTATCGATATGGTACTCATTTAAAGTATCGCTCTAATAATATCGGGTACCCATTAATATCGCAATAAAAAGACTCGAACCCCAAATATCGATACCAAAATCAAAAAAAAAACTGAATATTGGTGTCGTATGTAGGCCGCTGTGGTGTTGTGATTAGAAACCTCCGAGCGTATTTCTGCCACGAAAATCAGTTTCTCATAAAAAATACAATCGCCGTTCAGAATCGGCGTAAAACATTAGGGACGCCCTTTGTGGCACAACATCAAGGCGCACGCCAGAAATCGGAGGAGAAGCTCGGCCAAACACTAACATATTGTGTAAGCCCCGGTCTACTATTATTATTACATCACGTAGAGATTGAGGTGTTGACTTAAACACCGAGACAGCGTGTTGAAATCCCGCCACATGCAATCCTAACGATAGTAAAAAATTTCTGCAAGAATTGATAATCACATTATCTTTGTAATTTGAGTTTATAACATTCGATACGATACTAGGGTTCTGATACTCGATTACAAAAAATATCGTTTTAAAACTATCGAGTAAAACATGTCGGTATCGAATGCCAAAAGTATCGATATGGTATCGTATCGTATCGAAATTCGTGTCCCTACCAGTGACATTGAACTATCTGAAGAAGAGCCAGGAAAGATAACGGCAAAGAATATTCGTGCCATGAAACGGTAGATAAAATTATACACGAATACCAACCTAATGTATGGAAAATACTTATAAACCAAGGGCTATTCTAATTGCATACCACAATAAACTTTACGCCTATTTAATACAGAGAAATCGAGGAAAAATATGATGCATATATAATTCTTTTACTAAGGTTTACCTTTTTTACTACGATTATCTTTGAATTAACCGCTGCATTCCTAAATCGTTCGGGTTCTTTTCACTGGATGGTTGAATTATTTACAATAACAATACTTTCATCATTATTTTAAAATCTAATATAATATAATATAATATAATCAGTAGAAGCTACATATTTTTACTACTATGAGTACAACTAGGAAATGTAATTTCGAATGAACTATTTATTTTACATTGAATAAGAAAAATACTATGGAACAAAGTTTTGCAATGATATGCATTAGCGATATACTATTTTTTAAAACATATTTATGTATGTACGCAAATAAATGAATAGATTCTTGAAAGATTTTTGTTTTTGTAATGTTATTTAGGTCTTTGTTTATGTTTTTCTTTTGTTATTATTAAAATTTATTCAAAGCATTTGTTTTTGAATGAATTTATACTCAGGTAGTTTTTTTAAGGAATCGGCTCGGTATGGGCCAAAAATTGGGAATTGGTCGGACTCTAACTTCAAAGTCCTTGGACAATAAACCAAGGGGCAACTAGTAATTATATGATGACACCTGTTCGATATACAACAAAATTACTATAAATAAAATAAGCTAAAATACTTGTTTGATTCTTAAAATATACACTTTTTACGCAGTAGGCGTAAGTACGCCACGCTATGTTTTTCCCAAGGCGAATCTATACAAGGTGGTGTTACCGGATCCGCTGATTTCGCGGCGAATTTGTACCTTTTGTCAAAATGATGTGCTTGTTGTAATTTTGTTTTGTACTGATTGTCAATGTGCGTCTAATTTGTTATCGTAATTTTTGTTTTTGCTCTGCCAACACCACCTTGTATAAATTCGTCTTGGTTTTTCCAATCTGCGCGAGTTCGAAGCTTCCATACTCGCTTGAATTAAAAAATGGTGATGGAAAATATAGCGTTCCGAATTTCATCAACCAAAAATTTTGCAAGTTTGGTTATTCACAATACACTTTAGATTTTTTAGGTCGCAGAACGTAAAATATGAATTTTTATTTGATATTTTTAACTATCGAAAACTATTTAGCACTGGGTAAAAAGACATTTAACTTCGGAATAATTATGGGAAAACTGGCCTTTTGCATGGAATTTCCTTTTGCTTTTTTTTACGGCAGAAAACTAAGTTTATTTTTGTCGTAAGACCTTTTTAATTTTTAAAAGCCTGCGATGCCGGATGGTGCACTTTTGCTAAACCTTCGGGGAAATACTCTTCTTTTGTGAAAGCATAAAAAATTAAATGTTTTGGGGACCTGAATTGATGGGATCATATGGTGTATTGTTTAAAACCTCAAAAATTGGGTTCATGCAAAAATGCAGCTTTTCTTTAATTATTCCTAAGCTTGGAATTTTTATTTTGTCATCAATTCAATTTCACAAACTGATTTTCGAAAAAAACAAAATAAAAAATTTAAATTTTAAGAAATGAGCATCTTTAACGACGGTTTGGTGAGCATAGAGATTTAGTTAAGAATTTATAACTTAAGTCCCTAAAATGGTGGTCAAGGGCCAAGGAACTGTCACAAATACTCATGCCCATAAAATTTGTACGAACCATCCCACAATAACGCGGCGTTAGCGCAGGGCAAATGGAATTTTCATTTTTGACAGGGCGTTACGTGTTGAAGTTGTATGCGGAAGACAGAAAGAGAGAGGACACAAAATGAAAGAGGGAACGAGAATGAAAACGAGAGGAAATGACAAAACGTCAAAAATTACGCCGCGTTAATTTGGGTATAGCGCGCGTTTGCCCTAGTTGGCATTGCAAAGCGCAACGCTTAGCGCTCCAATTTAGGAACGGCAGTAAGATTGTAAATTACTTCAACTGTTTTAAGTACAAATTCACTGATTTTTTAAAGTATGATCAGATTGATAATAGACCTTTGTTGCAGCAAGTGGAAAATCATCTACATTTTCTTATTGCCGATTAAGAAAGGTAAGGAAAAACGCCAATGGAATGCACACCGAAACGCTAACTTTTATTTCAAAAGGAAATCAGTTTACATAACTAGCTGCTAGCTACTTGCCTGAAAATTTCCTTAGTATAAACCTTTGCAAAACGATTTTTCAGCACACATATGTGTACATACATATGTATGTATGTATCTTTGTAAGTAAAACGAGAAAATTAAAATAATTCTATAAGAGGCTAGCCATAACAACAATTTTGCTGCCTTTTCTAATGCTGTTATTCCACGTTACACACAAGCGGGCAAACTTGCCAGAAAGCTCTACCCTTGGCGTTAAAAACAACAACAACCAAAAGTTACCAAAGTTGGAGCGCAAAGAACCCGTTTGACTTGTTGAAAAATATTTCTTTCATTTTTATTTTGCTCATGTTTTTACTTTTTATTTTTTGTTTCACACGGCAGCAGCAGAGCATTGTCTGATCAAGTTTCAATACACACCGAGCATGTGGTACGTGTGGTGCTTTTCCTTGGCTAATAAGAGTATACACAATAGGGGTATTCTCAGAGTCTTGCAAAGCCATTGCACGGTGCACAGATTGCACGGTAAAACGCGGTTTTCGTATGGGACAGCACACCGTGAAATCCGTGCACCGTTAAGGGCTTTGCAAGACTCCGAGAATACCCCTAATATTCCATTTGGGAAATCGAGAGATTTAAGCATAGTGTTGGTATTTTCAAGATTATATATACTTATGTACATACATAAATACATATCTATATAAAAAATCCACAATTGACGGAAATGCTTACTTTTCTTAATGGCGACGGTTATTACTCCTTTGGCAGTAAGTGATGATTTCGAGGGTGATCGCAAGGACTTGTAGCACTTTTTCTTGCCACTTGCCCTTAAATCTCATAAAACGCAACATACGTATACTCTTCAACTTAAAAATGCAATTGTTATTTCTTTTCTCCAGCACACATCAGAGCAACAAATTTTGTGTTACAATTTTTTCTTTACTTTTACACAACACTTTGGAACACTTAGCATATAATTTCCCTACTCTTACTAAAAACACAACAAACGTAAAGGACTCAATTTAACACATTTTTGCCCTTTGGCCTAAATGCCTGTTTTACTGGTCAAAATTACTTTTTTACATGAGTTAACATCACTTTTTTCTTGTTGCAATATTTGCCCTCGGCAGGCAATGGCAAACCTCCGAGTGTATTTCTGAAAAACAGCTTCTCATAAAAATACATTCGCCGTTCGGAGTCGGCGTAAAACTGTAGGTCCCTCCGCTTTGTGTGACAACATCAAGGACAAACATTAACATATGTGTAAGCGTCGATCTATTATTATTATTATTATTATTATTAATATTTTAGATAATGTTTTTTGCGAAAAGCCAAAATATAGTAAATAATCAGCAGTCAAATTATACTTATGGGTGGGACATGAAGTGTAACTGTTGAAAAAATATTAGAAGATATACTTAAAAAGCTGGTATGGAGCCTAAAGCTAAGAGTTAGTAGATATTAAAGATGTGTGTTAACACCTAATAAAATACTAGTTTTTCTTAAATGTTCACTGTACATAAGCCTAGAAAATGTTGGCTAGGTTTGGCTAAGATACAGTTATTAAGCCTCATTGCGAGTGTCATCTGGAGTGCAAGTCGTTTTTCGAGAGTCGGGTCGTATCGAAATTTGTATGGCATTGCCTAAAATTTCGACTCGACTAGTGTATTAAAACGGAACAACTTGGCAGCACCAGATAGTTTTCGACGATTTTCGTCGTTTTCTTATTTCTGCACGACAGAAGATAATGCCAATGTTGTCGAGTTGTACAATTTAGTCTAATTTACGACTGACGCGATGAGGCTGATTATTATTTATCCGTAATTAGTTTTGGCCAGATATCAAGGCATTTATACCATAGTGCATTGTATAGCTTTTAGAATCAATAATTTACATTTTTGCTATTTTTCTGTCGCTTAAATGAAATACCTGGCTGTCGAAGCTCGCTAATTACCGCACTTGCATACATATATACATATGTATGAATTTACAATCCGAATCACATGCAGGCATATACATACATATATGTACGTATTTTCAACAACTTCGTTTATGTTGTTGCGAATGCTCAACAACGGAAACATAACACTTAATTTCAAATGAACAAAACGATAGGCAATCCGATATTATACCGAATAAACGCGCAATGAAATTTTCCGCGCACAAAAACCGTTCACTGATTTTACAATGAAAACACACAAAGAACTAAATTGGAGTTTACTTTTTTACCTGAACGCACCATACTTATGTAGTGGAAGTCTGTAGCAGTGTGACCGTTTTGAACCAAGTGGATCAAAAGTGATACATCTTAAGATTAATTTTGGAGGGGCACTTCGTTTTAAATTTTGATACTTTTGCAATCGTGTAATCGTGTGTCGAAAAACTTGCCAGAGATGTTTACAACATAACACTTAATTTCAAATGAACAAAACGATAGGCAATCCGATATTATACCGAATAAACGCGCAATGAAATTTTCCGCGCACAAAAACCGTTCACTGATTTTACAATGAAAACACACAAAGAACTAAATTGGAGTTTACTTTTCTACCTGAACGCACCATACTTATGTGGTGGAAGTCTGTAGCAGTGTGACCGTTTTGAACCAAGTGGATCAAAAGTGATACATCTTAAGATTAATTTTGGAGGGGCACTTCGTTTTAAATTTTGATACTTTTGCAATCGTGTAATCGTGTGTCGAAAAACTTGCCAGAGATGTTTACAATTTCTTTGCACATAGTGCTAAAAGGGTGGATGAATTTGCCGAGTTTCAAAACTACGTTGGTGTTAAAAATCATAACATTTTTCGAGTGTCAAACAATCGCTGGTTATCGCTAAAGCAAGGTGTACAAATAACTTTTTATATTTCGAACTAACTTCTTTTATTTTTAACTTTTTATGTTTGCCGCACAGCTCTGCCGCTGCAGAAAGCATTCTCTCAGATCTGAATTTGATCTCTCTGTAGCAGTGTAGCATTTTCTCAGATCTGAAATTGATCAAAACAAATAGAACAAAGTCACCTTGTCAATGGTGGAAAGCAATTTTTTTCCGAAATGCCTTAAAAATTATTAAAAAATTTGACTTCTGAGTCCTATAAGTAAAAAAAAGTATTTAAACTAAAAATAAGATTATATCTAAACCTTTTTGCGTTTTTATTATACTAATACCCAGTAGAACTCTACATGTGAGACATTTTCGTTATTATTATTATACTAGCACAAAGTACAACTGATTCGTGTACCTTTGATACTGAAAAAAGAGTGATACATACATATTGATACATTTTAAGTCTCTTCTTTGCTACAATTTTTCAAAGTCCACGGTCACACTGCTCTGTAGCAGCAGCAACAAATAACCATATGAATCTACAGAGCAAAGAGATAACTAAGCAGAAACCGGAGTATAAATGAAAATGAACAAGTCTGTATAAGAGTACCTCAACATACTAGCACCAAAAAAAAGCAAGTGGCATACCAAGATGAAGACAATTACAAATCTAGTCCAAGCAAACACAATGCGCTTAACAACACAGCCGATGTACGGCTGCGTGTAGTACTCACGAGCACGGTTGTCACTTGTTAAGAAAATAACCAACCAATATCGGAAAAAAAACCAAATTGAAAAAAACAACCAAATTAGTTTTTCACGTATCTATTACAAAAAGCAAAATTTATTAATTACAAAAAACAAAAATTATTGAAATACTTACATATGTGTTCAATCACATATTTACTTTTTATATGTACATATTTTATATCCACATCCCAGCCAGCACAGAAACGTACTTTATGCCGACAGTGCGGTTTTCATACATTTGTCGTATCTGGAAACGTTCAGAAAAATGTCATCATGTTATTTCAAAACATTAATTTTAAAATATTTATTCAAACTGAGCATTTGAAAACATGGATACGTATTCGCCAGTAGCTGAGTGTGTAAAGGTGCGTGCTACTGCCCCACGGGACAAGAAGCGCTCCATGAGTGCTATTGGAACGCTCCATATTCAGTAGTAAAGGCCGGTACTTTCGCATTGGTACTAACAGCTAGGGACACGAATTTCGATACGATACGATACCATATCGATACTTTTGGCATTCGATACCGATATTTTCTACTCGATAGTTTTAAAACGATATTTTTTGGAATCGAGTATCAGAACCCTAGTATCGTATCGAATGTCATAAACACACATTCCAACACTGAGGGAAAAAATTTTAGAATAAAAAAAAAACGTGCTAAATTGAAAAAAAATACGCATGTGAAAGAGCACAAACCCAACTCGTATTAAATTTGAGTATATACGTTATAAAATATGTGGTTGTGAAGTGCACAGATGCTTTTTCGTAATTAAGAAGAAAAAAAATTAATTAATTAATTAATTAATGCGATTAGTGCATTATGTCATACCATGTATGTGTGTATGTGTTGTCACCGCTGTGCATGCTTTGTATACAAATACCTTCTTAATTACATATGAAAAAGCATCCGAGACGTGCAAAACGCCATCCGTGTAGTGAAAAATGCTTCATTTTAGTACGGGAGTATTTGAATTGAATATTTCCATTATATGTACGTAGCGTATGTATAATGGAAAATCCATTTGGTTAAGACTTTTCGCTGGATTTAAATACGAACATTTTTAAACGGTAATTAATGTTTAAGTCAACACCTCAATCTCTACGTGTTGTAATAATAATAAAGTCCGGCGCTTACACAATATGTTAGTGTTTGGCCGAACTTCTCCTCTGATTTGTCGCGTGGGCCTTAATGTTGTGGCACAAAGGGGGTGCCTACAGTTTTATGTCGACTCTGAACGGCGATTGTATTTTATGGGAAGCTGTTTTTCATTTTCAAGGGTTGCGCACTTCTAACCACTACACTTTAAATGAGTACCATATCGATACTTTCGGTTCGATATCGTGTCCCTATTAACAGCTGACTATGCATACACACAATTATATGGGCATGCCCACATATCAACGGCAACGCCAATGCCAAAGTTAACGCACACAAAAATGATGGACATCTCTCATCTTTTTGAGCGCGTTGTCAATCAGTTGTTGCAAATACGTGAAATATTTTTAATTTTTAATCAAATGTGGGCAAGGAATATGGGTTTTCATGCAATTATTGATATGATCAAAGCATTGACTGCCAAGCGTTCATTGTAGCAAGCATACTTTTAACGTGCGTTCTGTCAAACAAACGCCAACGCCAAAGCGCTCCCTTCTTAATTTCACACTTCATTGTATTTTAATATTGTGTGCCCTTAGTGAGTGCTCTTTTAATAAAA